GTTGTTTTCTCCTCCAGATTGTTTATCCAGCCTATCTTATCTAGATAGACCTGCAGAGATAATATGCACAAAAACAAGACAGAGCTAAACAAAGCAATAACACAAGAACAACACCCTCTTCTGAATCTGGCTGAATTTCTGACAGCGTCCTGTCAATATACTGTCACAACCATAGTTGGATGATCTTCAGTAATACCATACTCACATGTATATCAAAATTGTTGTTCTATCATTTGTCCATTCTGTTGGATCACCTTCCTTTGGAACAGATGCAAACATTAATCTCTTCCAGGCAGTTGGCCAGGTCGCTGTCTTTCAAATTTCTTGGCGTGAGTAAGTGCTGCATCAGCTTGTTACATTTCAGTAGGTCTTTTTTCAATTCCTGGAGACTTGTGTTTAGCTAATGCCTTCAGCACAGCTTGGACTTCTTCCTTCAGGATCACTGGCTCTTGATCATAGGCTACCTCTTGAAATCGTTGGATGACGACTACTTGCTTTTGGTACAGAGAGACTGTATTCATTCCATCTGCTTTTGGTACCTCTGGCATCAATATTTTGCCCATAGAATCTTTCAACAGTGCAACTCAAAGCTTAAATTTTAGTTCTTTAGGTTTAAGATACGCTGAGTGTGTTCTTCCTTTTTGGTTCTCTAACTATGTTTTGTGCAATTCACTGTATTTGTTTTTTTCTCAAGTTACCCTTTGGAAGTTTTCTGCTCAGTGCATTAACTTTATCATTTTTCCCTTTGTTTTGGATACTCTATGATTAGGTTTCTGAATCTCTTCTGCCATCCACTTTGATCTTTTCTTCCTTCCTCGTCTTTTCATTGCCGTTTTGCTTTCTTTGTGCATGATGTTTTGACGTCATCCCTCCGCTCATCAGGTCTTCTGTCACTAGTGTTCAACGTGTCAAATCTTTTCTTGAGATGTTCTGAAAATTTAGTCAAATTTTATTTTGGTTCTGATGTACTTATTTTAATTTTCTTTAGCTTCAATCTGAACTTACATGTGCGCTGTTGATGGTCTGTTGAACTTCTCCCTGATCTCTCTTCCTACATATGTAGTCAATGTGATTTCTATGCATTCCATCTGGAGACGTCCACATATACAGTTGCCTTTTGTATTATTGAAAAAAGACATTTGCAATGAACAATTCTATTGTTTTTGATTTCTATCATTTTGATCACCAAGGCCATACTTTCCAACTACTGTTCCTTCCTAATTGTTTCTAACTTTTGCAGTCCAATCACCAATGCATCTTGATCACATGTTTGAGTCTACAATAGGCTGCTGAAAACAATGCCTCCATGTAGGTTTATGGTGCTCCAAATTCACGAACTTCATTTTGAATTGGCCTTTAGCATCAAACAGTCATCTTTCACTTGGTCCTAGTAGGCTACCTCTCCCATTCCCTCATGTCAGTATTCTCATGTCAACATTCAACTTTTCTCTTTACTGGGAGTAGAAGCCTTGCCTTGTACTTCACTATTGAAAAGTGAAACTATAGCTGCATAACTCATTTCTCCCCAGCACGAGCTACCACGCCACTCTGAATTGTTTGTGTCATTTGACTGTGAGTTTTTTGGGGGAAAGTAACAGTTTTCTCCGGAAGATTCCCACCGGACTGCAAGGCTGGCCTCCCCACAGGCCCCGCCGACACTGTTCCAGGAGGCCGTCCCCCAGAAGCCCTTGGTTTGGCTGCTGCAGCAGGCTGGAGGAGCTTCCTGGCCTGTCACACATGTTGGAATGTGAGGTTCAGTCAATAAACCAGTGCGCACCTGGTTCCGACCCGCCCTCCAAAAACAAAAAAAAGTGAAACTATTAAGTGCCTCTCTCTCACCTTTAACTTCCAAGTTACAAGTTTGTCTACACTATCCTTCAAAACTCTCAATTGTTCTAATTTTTTTTAACATCAATTGTTACCTTGATTTATTCATCTTTTATCCATTCCTTTCTCTTTTGGATTCTTCCTTTCAGTCTATAAACTTGCTCAGGTCTCTCCCAAAGTAAGAAATTACAAAACTATCCTTAACTTGCATTTTTCAATTAATTTGCCATATTTTTCTCTTCCTTTCTCATTTAAACTTCTCAAAACCACGTACATTTGCTACTTCTCCCCAACATTCTTCAATTACCTTCACTATGACTCTCACCCCTTGTCAGAGTCACCAAATAGATCCTAACTGCCAAATTCAATGCACATTTCATACATATCTTACTAGCCTTCAGTCCTGCTACTGATGTTGTTTTCTTGCAACTCTCTTCCCCAAAGGCTTCTTACTCTCCTGGTTTTCTTCCTCTCTGAATGTTCCATTGCAATCGTTTTAATGGGATGCCTTTCTCATTTAAGCCCCTTAAACAGCATTTGAAAACTACCTGCTACAGATTAAATTGTGGTGGTGTGATGGGATACATGTGGTCGGCCAACTTCATGGTCAGCAGCCTCTCTTCTCACAACACCTGCTTTCCACTTGAGCCCATGGTGTCAGCTCCTCATTTCCCCCCCTCCCTCCCTGTCCCCCCTCCCCGATAATTTATAAATTATTATTTGCTCCAATTTTTAATATTTTTTGCTTTCTTTTCAATTGAGGTTTTTCTGTTTTATTTTGTCATTACTGTTGAGTTTTTGTTTGGGTTTGATGTTTTTGTCTGTATGATGTCTATGGAGACAATAACTGGATTAATGGTTTCTTGGAGATGTGGTGGGGGAGGTTGGAGAGAAATGGGGATCATGCATTGCAAGAAGGACGATGTTCTAGAATTGACTGTGGTTATGGTTGTGCAACTTTTTAAACTATGACTGAACTATTAAAGTGTATGATACATAAATTATGTCAATAAAATGTTAACGAAAAATATGGTCCCCATTTTTCAGTCACCTCTTGTACTTTATATGTTAGCCATACCAAACAACTTGCAGTGAATGTGAAAAAGTCATCATAAATCTAGAATATGAATCCATATCCTATAATTTTCTATGTTCTTCTGGGCTATTTCTGAATATGGATTCCAATTATTTTATATAAAATCCAAACCCACTACCATCAACTCAACTCTGACTCATGACTACAGGACAGACGAGAACTGTTCCTTTTGGGTTTCTGAAACCGTAAATCTTTATGGGGCTGAAAGCTCAACTTTCTCCTGAGGAGCAGCTGGAGGGTTTGAATCGCTGATCTTGTGGTTAGCACTTCAGTACACCACCAGGGCTCCTTTACTATTTCACCAGATACAGGTTTAAACACAGAGCTATATGCATTAACCCAGAAATACATTGAGCATTTCAAGAATATGACAGGGACTAATCAAAAGCAAAGAACTGAAACTAAAATTAAACCTTTATGGCAGAATTGTGGAAGTATCGATTATTATAACTAAAAGAAAGACAATGACTACTCCCCTAGTGACCAGGATATACTAATTACTCAAAATCAACATACAAGGAAACTTACTTTCCAGGCTAAATTGCAAAGATTCTTCACTAGTCTCCGTTTCAGGACTGACCAGTTTCATTCTTAGGCATAATTTATCATCCATCACTGGAGCAGCCTCAGAATCTCCTTTTTCATTCTCAAGAATGGGGTCATTGGTCTCCATCATGCTTTCAGACATAACATCACTGGTGGTCACAGTGCTTTCTGGATAGTTGCTAATACCTGAAAGAAGGGAGGCAGAAAGAAGAAAAAGAGAAGGAACACTAAAATACAAACAGGAAAAACAGCGCTGCAAGGTCATCAATTTGCCTATTTTGACTCCACAGCTCTGCAGGCTCAAAAGGGTTCCTAGGATAGCTCCTGTCACAGTATCAACAACTACACACTAGTATTGACACCTGGTCTTAACAGGAGCAACAGGATTCAGTTCCACTTCTGCATCTGGACAAAGGATGCTGCATGAGCCCTCAGCCAACCCACATCTGCCAGCATCGGGCATAGGTAGCAGGAGATTCCAGACGGCATGACTGTTACCTCTCAGCACGGACTAGAGAAAACAAACAGGTTAATGTAGAAGACTATGGGTTGCTTTAAGGAAGGAGGATTTAAGTTTTCTTGTCCTGCCAAGCAGCAGACAGTTTGATTAGCCAAGGTACTGAATTAGTACTTATATCCTACCTGCTAGTCCCTTCTAATCAAACAGCTCTGTATCCCCATTCAGCATTCGGATTCTATTTCCTTGAAAATAATAAGATCTTCAAAATGTTTCTGTCTTCCTTCCCTCCACCCCTTCATCTCTTCCCCTCATCACCTTTTAATATGTCCTGGGAGTAAACTCAAAAGAGTCAGAGACCACAGCCTGATTCTGCTTAAGACAAAGTCAACCATATTAGTCTGGCCCAGCTCTTCGGATCTAAAAATATTGCTTGCGCAAAGAATGACAGCTCAGAGTTTCTGTCTTAAATATCATTACTTTTTAATCACTCACCAATAGGAGTACTGTGTCTCTTGGGCTCCAATTTAAGGTGCCCAATGAGAGGTGGGGTTGCGCCAGTCAAGGGTGGGATAATGTCACCTTCTTTAGGCAAAGTGAAATGAAATGGAGTTTCTGGAAAAAACAAACAAAAACAAAAAACAAAAAAAAAATAGCAAACAAAACAATAAACCAAAAAAGAAGTATAAAATAGCAAAATTAAGGAGAGCAGCAGGGAATATTTCAATTACTTACTCTTTTCCTTTGCCCCCAAATTATGTCACTCCCAGCACCCCATCACTATGCCTTCCCCGATCAATTCCCAACTACTGCTCTCTGCAGTCTCTTCATATCAACAACAGGAGTGATAGAACCAGAAAATAGACACACAGAGGAAGCCCAAAGTTTGGCCGATCGCAGAACATGGGGTCATAGGAACACTCTAAGCTTCAAGATAATACATTTGGGAACAGATATTCAGTCATACCAATTTGAATAGTGTGAAGTCCAGATAATTTAATATAGTGCTAACCCAAGGAGTTCATATTTAAGCTTAATAGTCTATAGATCATCGTTTTAAAAGTCTGACATTCATACATTTCATTTACTATCTACCCAACAAGGTGCCAAAGAATCTCATGGGCCAAAGGACTTCAAAAGTCTCATAGGCTCTAACACAGAAATCCAAGGATTTTTATGGTTCAGTAGTACCAACCAGAATTTACTCCAGGTCAGAAATGCAGTGTTTATATCTAAAACTCTGCCCAACAGTAAATCCCACATCTGTGAGCATCCCAGGAGTTTGCCATTTTGAAGTTATTATAAGCATAAAACATTTGACAAGATATAACACGTTTAAAACTAAGTCCACATCCAGTTCCAAATCTGTGCTAACTAGAATTAGCAAAATGTCAAACTCATATTTTCTGATCTAAGTTTATCTCCTTTAATAAAACAACCATGTGTAAGAGAAAATAAGAACTGTGCCAGGCTGTTCCTCTTAAACCTAATACTGTATATGAAATGTTGTACTTACTTTCCTGGGATACCTCAAAATAACTATTATCTGGCATACCCAGTCACTACTCCTTGTGAAAATAATTTGCTTCTTTCATCTTTTTTTCCACTCCACTTCTATCCTTTATTATCTTTAATATCAAGCACCTTGGTGCTTTTTTCTTCTTCAAAATCACAAAACAACATCTCTTATATATAAGAGAAAATGAACAAGTAACCTGAAGGGATGAAAAGAGAAAACGAGATGGACCTTAGAAATAAGGGTGGAAGTACTTATGTGCAACTAAACCTGTGAAGAGGAGAGTGTCAGCGTCACATCTAACTGGCACAGATTTCCACTCCAGTTAGAGAGAAGAAATAGGTCGGGTAGGTAAGAATTCAATCTTTGGCAGCTCTTTATAAAGCAAGTCTTTCAGGCTAATGAGGAAGAATCTAAAAGAGATGTAAATTTCAGAGACATTTTGTAAAATTTTCATTCCTGAAATAACCAAAATGAAAGATCTTCCTGTTGTAACAGGAAATCTCCTTATTAAGTCAATTGATTGTCAGACTTTTCCAAACAGCTCCTTCTACGTCAAATCCCACAGTACACACAACAAAACAAAAACCCAGTGCTGAAAATCATTTCCCTACCAGTTTCCTTTGCACAGGACTAGATAAAATTTTAAAAATTTACTTTAACCCCATTATGTAACCGCACCAGTATAATCCAAGGAGCAATCTTTTATAGGCCTTGTTCACAGGCCCAACTAATGACCACCTTAAACTTAACAGAATGAAATGTCAGGCCCTGCCCCTGCAGCATTTTCATGATCTTTAATGTGTTTGAGCCCACAGCTGTGGCTAGAGGCAGGTCAAAGTGCAACATGCAGCACTACTACTTCCCTAATTACCTGTCCTTTCCTGCCTCATGCCCAGAATTCCTATCACAGTCTATGGACCTCTTTCTGTCAAAAACCTTCCACTACCCAGTAACTCCTAGTTCTTTCTGTAGTGCCTTGCTAAATCACTGCTTTGAAGAAGTTAGCCAAAACAGTAAGATTGCCATTAGAAGAAAACGCCTAACACTTTAATCAGATTCAATTAACTAGTACCACCGTACATCTCAAACCTTTTCTTAAAACAAGCTCATAAAGCCCTCTAAATGCTTTTCCCTTTCCCTGCTTCTACTTACTCATCTGAAAGATACTAATAACCCAGTCAAGACTATTGCCAAATCCTACAAACTACATTTACTGGTGTATTTTCCACATACCATATATACTCAAGTATAAGCTGACCCGAATATCAGCCGACTTTCACCACAAAACTGCATTAAAAATGTGCTAGAAAACGCAGTTTACACTTGAGTATATGCGGTATTCAGCTCTCCCACATCACTTAAATTATGGAGTCTCTCTTGCTTCCCCAGATCATCATGGACTGTTTTATTGCATGCCATCATACCAACCTCTGAAGAAACAAAAGGAAACTTCATAGCAATGGTCAAACCATACAAGTAGGATATTGCACTTCTTACTAAGGATTTGAGAGAATTCATTCACTGAAGAAACAAAATAAAAAAAACACAACAACAACAGAATTTGACATACTCAAGGTCCAGGTCTCTGTTTGCATGCAATATTAACTCCAAAGGACGAATGGACTAGATGAGCCTCACCCTTCTCTCCACAACGCTGAGACTCTAAGAATGAGATGTTGCCAAACTATACCACTGCCTATCCGGTCTGAAAGCACTGGTAGGCCCTAAATAAGAGTGGGAGACAAATGTGGAACAAAACTCTGAATATTAAAACAGATGGGATTACTGGTCTGATAGAGCCTGGTGAAACCTCTAAGACTAAGTGTGCCCTTTACCATTCAAAGATGGAACTGAAGTCAATTCCATGACTCATCTTTCAGCCAAACAATACACAAGATGGACAATGACACCAGGAAAGTACACACTCCTTAGAGATCAAAAGCACAGCACAGCATTTGCTCAGGGGAAAGTCTTAGAAGACAGGAAGGGATATTGAAGAATGGAGGTGGTAAACACACGGACAAAGTGGGGAGAACACTGTTAAAATTGTGGGGGCTGCATTTAGTATCACAAAACAAAATGTGTTAAGAATTGTTGAATGGCTACCTTACAAATCTGGCTAGACCAGAGGATGTACATTGGTATAGATAGGAAACAGTGAATCCAAGACAGATGATCCCTTTAGGACCAGTGGTGAGAGTGGCGATACCTGGAGGGTGGAGGGAAGGTGGGGTAGAAAGGGGGAACCGATTACAAGGATCTACATATAACCTCCTCCCTGGGGGGTGGACAATAGAAAAGTGGGTGAAGGGAGACGTCAGATAATATATGACAATATAATAATAATTTATAAATTATCAAGGGTTCATGAGAGGAGAGGGGAGCAGGGAGGGAGGGGGAAAAATGAGGAGCTGATATCAAGGGCTTAAGTAGAAAGCAAATGTTTTGAGAATGATGAGGGCAACAAATGTACAAATGTGTTTGACACAATGGATGAATGTATGGATTGTGATAAGAATTATATGAGCCCCCAATAAAATGATTTTAAAAAATTGAATGGAAAATTAATTTGCTCTGTAATCTTTCACTAAAAAAAAAAAACCAAGCAAGGTCTCTCTTATTTCTAACTTTCTGTTCAAGTTCATTTTTCTTTTGCTCTCATAAGACCTGATCAGTGCTTACAGGTGATTAAAAGGTATTTAATTCAAAATGTAAGAAATTCTACATTGAATGACACCACGCATGAACTGTCTACCATAAGAGCAAGTGGTAACATTTCAAAAAGTAACCTTGCAAATGTTAGCTCTAGAACCTGAAGTAAACCTAGCTTCCCTGTTTATTTATTTATTATCTATATTATAGATTACCATTTATGGACTGAATTAAAGGCTCATTGTACTGGCTACAGTTCTTTACATCATTAACTCAGCATAAGTTGAATATACTGAATAAGGCTGAAGGCTGAGTTTCTAAATGCCATGTTTCTAAATATGCTTTGTTAAAATTTCAAGATGTCTGAAGATGTAACCTAATGATTGACAATGATTATATTATCTACAATGCAAACACAAGTGGTGTTTTTACTATTTACCCATGCTTCCTACCCTCTTTTCTGTACTTTTTTTTTTTGGAGGGGGGGAGTGTATTTGATTAAGCACCTATCATGCTTTTTTAAATTTTATAAAGCTATTAACAAGAATATCCTTCTAATTCTAGCATACAAACCTGGGGCTCACCCAATTAATTCTTAACTGTCATTTTTGTCTTTTCATAGTGAAGAACTTTCAGATGACTCTCACTTATATTAGTCTTTGTTTAGGCTTAGCTAGTAAAAGAATTGTGTATTTAATGTGATTTTTTCCTACTGTTTGCAAAGTTCTTCTCAATGGTCTAACTTTAGACTAAGTTTCTAATAGTCAAAACTATTATTCTCCCTCAAATGTTTGGATCACCTATTTTCATTTCTCCTAGTTTCTTACAACTACTATTTTTCCAATCACCTTTTCATTGATTTTAGTTGTTAGCAAGAACTATAATCTTGAAGTAATTAGAAAACTACATACTTGTATTTTCATATATCTGGGTAAATTAGACTAATTGTGTGAATAGGAATTCATGGAGAATGTTTTAAGACATTATAATAGAACATCCCAGTACTTTATAAGCTGCTTTTACTGTGTTATGTAAGTTTGCACTTGACTGCTAACTAAATGGTGTAGGTTTAAATCTACCCAGTGATGCACTTAGGAAAGATCTAGGAATCGACTTCTATAGGATTATATCTACTGAAAACCCTCAACCTAGTTCAACTTTGAAACACATGTAGTTGACATGAGTGTGAAGAGAGTTGAGCACAATGGGTTACAGGTAAGAAGGCCTATTAAAAACCACCTGCATGGTACACTGGTAGACTATGACGCTCTCCTGTCCTGGTTCACTCACAGTATTTCAAGGTAACAAAACTATAAAAATAGGGTCCCTCTCCTGTCCCAGTCATCAAAACCACAGAAATTCATTGTATACTTTTTTTTTCTTTTTATATGCTTTTCAAGGAGAAAAATGGAAAGTCACTTTGGTTCAGAGATCTTGCTTTTAGCATGGCCAATAATTGGTGGCTCAGGACTCCTATATATTTGCTACTTTGGTGCCCTTCTTACTTTCTTATGACACATATTCATCTGGTAAGCATGATTCTGCATTTTGACAATGTGCTTTTGAAAGTGTGCCTTATCACCAATCCCCATTTTGCATGCAAATCGTGTACAGTCACTTAAGAGTTTAATCTGTACAAGTCAACAGTTTATGAGGGGGTACCCCCCACCGAAAAAAACGGAGTATTTGTCCCCAAAACTATGTATCTAAACTTTTTTACAAAACAACTTTATCACCTTCAAAGTACTCCCTATTACTCTGTCAAATCTGTGAATCCATTCTTGGAAACATTTTTCAAACTCATCTGTTTGGATGGCTGACAGCACCTCCCTCACTTTTTTTCTTCACCTCTTCTACATCGTCACATTGCTGTCCTTTCATGTCCCTCTGCATTGGAGGAAACAAAACTAAGTCCCATAGAGCAAGGTCAAGTGAGTAAGATGTGTAGGGCAGGAAAGGCATGCTGTTTTTTACCAAAAACTGGCATACTGAGATGGCTGCATGAGCAGGTGCATTGCTGTGGTGGCAAAAACCAGTAACCCCATTTGCCACAAATAAGGTCCTTTTTTGTAGCTCACTGTTATGCAATCTTTTCAGAACCTCTAAATAGAAAGCTTATTTAACAGTCTGACCTGGTGGAAGGGACATTTTCATCCCTTTGGAAAGCTGGCGATAAGTCCAGAACAAGGTTTGTCATCAATCGACATTTCACCTTTTTTGAAACGAGAGAACCACTCATATATTTGAGTTTTTCCCAGAACACTGTCCTTGTAAGCGGTGTTCAACATCACAACAGTGATGCAGTATTTTTCCTGAGCAGGAAACAAAATTCCACAGCTGTAAACTGTTCTCTTAAATCAGCCATCCCAAAAAACGAGGTTTAAGCGAAACTGCTTTTATGAAAATATTCACTGTGACCAGAGAGAACCTTCTCAGGAGACACCACTGGGTGCACTAAGAGCAAATTGCTTGATGCTTGCCTAGTGGGAAAAATGAGTACTACAAACGCTCCACCCAGCACAATTCCAGTTTTGAGGGCCCCAACATATAAATGGATTTAGGGCTTGCATTTAATTCTAGCCACAATCTAAGAACAATTAATTCTTATGATATGTCCCTGTTCAATGGTCTCCCTCAGGAAGAGATCACTGAAGATACGGGTGCCACATCAAAGTGTGGTAAAGAAACCAGATGGTGCCTGCATATCAGAAAGAATATTGTCTGAGGTCTTAAAGGCTTGTCCTTATAAACAATAAAATTCAAGTCCAAACAAGGGAATGGTGAGCTTCAATGGTAAACACCTGATTTGCAGAAGACTATGGATGACAGTGGGAGCCCAAAATGCATTTTCAGGATTAAACCCCACATTGATTAAGCCTCCAATGGATTCCCTCTGAGCATAGCCCAGGGATGTGAATAGCCTTGCTATCCGACAGCACTGTACTCAATTATGGCAGATGTCGTTAAATTAGAATGTGATAGCTTACCGTTTGATCTCCCTTTTGACCCATTTTAAAGTTGTCTCAGTTTTTAGTATTTTCTGTTCGGTCTTGTCTGACTTGTTGGCTTTTTTGTTTGTTTGCTTCCTGCTTGTGTTTCCATGATTTTTTTGTATATGAAATCCAGGATAGATAGATCTATATAAAGTAATGGGATTGATAATAGCCTAGAGGCATGGCTGGAGACCATGAGGGGAAGTGAGGGGGACTAGCAAGTTATGAAAAGAAAATGCTCTGAAACTGATTGTAGTGAAGACTGCACAACTCTCAATAGGACTGAATGATGAAGTTATATGATATGTGAAGTACATGCCAACAGGAGTATTTTAAAAGTATTAAAAATAGGGTTAAAAAAAAAGCTTTCTTACTTCAAGAATAAAAGAGCTCCAACCCAATAATCCTTCATCGCTCTTAAATTTATTGTTCTGAGAAAAAAACAAAAAATAAAGCCTAGCCTATAAAGGAGGAAATTCTGAGAGCAAAAAGAAGTATGCCGTAAAATTTGTGAAAGCCAAACCCCGTTTAAGGTAGAAATCTATCAGAAATGGAAAACTCAAATATTTCCAATTGATAAAGAGCAATAGAAATGTGTTAAGACCGCACTGTCAAAGGTGAAAAACTGGCAGACTTGGAAAATCTACGGGGAGTCCCACTGAGTTCCAGCTCTCACAGGTTTCACTGCTAAAAATTATACCTGATAAAAGGTTTAAGTTGGGTTTAGGCAAACCAGAAAGCACAGTCATCATACGAATAGAACGTAGCTTATATATTATTTCCAAAACTCTAAATTAAAAAAACACCAAAACTCATGGCCACTATCGTCGAGTCCGCTCAGAAAACTTGTATTTCCAACTCAGAATGATCCCAAATAGGGTTTCCCAGGCTGTATATCTTTATAGGAGCACACAGCTCACTTTTTTCTCCCAGAGCAGCTGGTATGTATGTCTGAACTGCAATTAGCAGCCTAACACAAGCCACCTGTCACACCACCAGGACTTTCAGTATCTCTTGTGGCTTGCTTTTATTAACCTTGTAATTGCTCTTTATTTCTTGTTTTTCTTTGGAGGTCTGTTTTATGTTTAAATTGTACTAACCCTGGTCATTTAGAATGTCTGCATTATTCCCAGCTAATGTCATATACAACACAAATATTTTAGAAGGTTGCCTGTCTTCTCTTGCTGAACTTGATAAAATACATAAAGAACATAAACTAATGTATTTTATACTTAGGAACTTTACTCAAGGCCCCAAAACAAGTTACCAATCAATAACTGCATCTCTTTTAAGAGAGTCTGAATGTGACTGGACCATACTATGTAGAGTAGTAATAAAAGTACTCCAAAGAAACTATCAAACTACAAAATCACAGAGATAATCTGAGATCTAACTAGAAATAAAGATTGATGAGATTTCTAATTATAAAAGTTATGCTGCTTACTTACTCCTGAATGATAAACACATCTCAAATATCTGATTCCACAAATTATTATAGCTATAAGAGAAATCGAACCTCAAAAATTTAATTTCCCAATTATTACTGTTTCCTTAAGTATAAACCCAAGTTCATTTCCGTCCTGACATCAGCATGCAGGTCATGCTTAATGCCCATTCTAAATTATAATTAGAGGCACCAAACAATTTATAATCACTCACCACTAGAACTTTCGCAGAAACTCTGTGAAGCATGGGCAGAGGCCTTTTCCAGATTCTGGGCCTCTACCCCAGAGCCCAACTGCTGCTTTGCGTTAGCCACTTTTGGGTCTTCAGTTAATGCATTATCAGGTTTCTCTTGAGGTTGGGCTTGCTGTATTTCCTGTTCAGGTCTTACAGTAGCATTTCTCAGTGGAGGCAAAGGGGGCTGTGGAGAGTCTTCCACTATAGGTTCCTTTTCTGCAGTTACTGATTTCCGATCGTCTTCATATTCTGCACTCTTTTCCTCCTGGGCATCTGGTCTAGTCTCAGCACATGGTTCTATTTCTGGAGCAATATCTTCCGAAGACTGGGAATCTGAGCATTTCTCAATTCCTTCCAGAGGTTCAGAAGAAACGTCAACTCTGGGAGATGGATCCTTCACATCTACAATGACAACACTTGAGTCCTCAGAAGTAGCTTCTTCCCAAGCTTCCTGATCCTTGTGTTCTAATTCTTGGTCAAGCACTGGCAGTTTCGGGGGAGAATCAATGCTAATCACACTGGTTTCAACTTCCATAGCTTCCTGACAGTCTTCCTTTGAGATTTCATTTTGAAGACACAAGCCTTGGGGCTGTGTTTCCGTCAGAGACAGGTGAAATGGGGTATTCTCCTTATTTTCTTCTTTAGGTTCTTCTCCTTGACTTTCACAAGGAGTCTCAGGGATTTCTTCCACTTCAGACCCTGAAGATTCCTCCTCTGGATGGTGGTCTTTAATTTCAATGGCTTCCTCCTGATCTAACACACTAGAGAGTGCCTCGGATCTAGCAGCTGGAGAAGGAACTGCCTGACTCCCTGAATCACAAGTGAGATCAATACAAATGTCTTCTGCTACAGTTTCTTTGCAACCAGTAGCTAAAATACCAATGTCATCTCTGGTCTCTGTTTCGTGTCCTTTTGTCTTGTCATCATCATTATGACTCAGTTCTCCTTGGGCATCCTGCGCTGGATCCACTAGAATATTGTCATTTTCAGTGGGAACAAGTTTAGAATTGAGAGCTGGAGACATGGGCTCAATATCCTCAATCTGTGTGTTTTCTCCATCTTCATCAGTTTTGTGAGCAGTCAAACTCTCTGTATTTGGAGACTGACTATAGTCACTTGCTGAAAGCATCAACTTGCAAGAATCCCCTGTCAAAGACAGCCCAAGATCTTCAGTGGAATTTTTTGGTTCAATCCTTGAAGCTTTAGAACACTCAGGAATCAAAGATGAACTATGTAAGTCTCCACCTTTTTTCCCATCATGTGATCCTTCTTCCAGACTTGGAGTTGGAATGAAAATGTCCTAATGTAAGAAAAAAGAACAAATCAGCATTTGTTCCTATTTATTTTATTGATAATACTTGAACTCAACTGAAAACTTCAAATCAATTATTCAAATCATGAACAGAATACCTCTAGGCCCTTAATTTCAGAAATAACAAACTAGGCATTTCAATGATTACCCAAGTCTCTCCATTTAATCCCTTTCTTATGAAATTAATGATATTGATAATGATAATAATACTGAATAAGCATAATCCATATAAAAACTATATATCACCAAGCTACTAAAATATCTTAATGAGCCTTACATAGGAATCTTTTGAATATGCCTACACAGCCCATTTCTGTTCTCATAATTCAGAAATACTGTACTAATTTTACTTCTCACTATTCCAAAATATATTAGCATTCATAATGCTAATTCATAACACTTAAATCTATAACTAATATTATTATTATTCATCAGAGAAATAAAAATTAAAGCTATCATGAGATACCAATACATACCCACAAGAATGGCTTAAACTTAAAAAAACTGGCAAAAGCAGGTGATGATGAGGATGTAGGAAAGTGGTGATTCTCATACATTTGCTAGGAGTAATGTAAAAAGTTAGAGCCACTTTGTAAACAGTGTAGCTTATAGCCATTATTCGTTGACATCGAGTTATCTCTAACCCATGTGCTCAGAGCAGAATTCCTCCACAGTCTTCAAGGCTGTGACCTTTCAGACATAACTTGCCAGGCCTTTCTTCTGAGGTGCTTCTGGGAGGGATTTAAATTGCTACCTTTTAACTAGTAGTTGTAACTAGCTTAACCATTTGCAGGACCCCAAACCCAGACTTAATTCAATCAAGTTAATTAGAACTCTCATTAACCCTGCAACCCAAGGACAACCAAATAGTACCTACATCCGATGTCAAATATGCATACCCTATGGCCTAGCAATCACACTCATTTAGATTAAATTAAGGAACTTCAATTCATTATGAAGCCTTTATTTACATTAAAATTTTATATTATGTAAATTAGGTTTTAATTTCTTCTTGCTTTGGGGGAAAAATACACACTAGGAAATTGACAATCTAAAAGTCCTCAGTTCAGGAACTATTAAATTATGATATAATCACTCAGGAGCATGATATGCAATTTTTGAAAGCAATATGTGATTAACAATGTAATACTGAAAATTATCATTATGATCATAATTTTTCAATGTTACATGGTCTTCATATTATCACTTTTTCAAAGCTTGTGTAAAGAGAAAGAGGATAAAGTTGTATGTCCACTTAAACCATTAAAAAAACACAAACACATGGAATTTACAAGTTACAGGTAATGCACAACTCCTGTCCCCCCAATTTTATCATAACGCTTTCAACATTTTTAAAAAGTTTGAAGACACAGCAAAATGTAAACATAAAAGTGTATGACACTTTGGAAATGTTCTAAAAAAAACTGAATTGGAATGACAGTTGCAAAGCTATAAACTTCCTGAAAAGCACTGAATTGTACCCTTACAGTAGATTACTTTTATGATTTTTACATTATACCTCAATAAAGCTGTTAAAAGAATAAAAAAGGTAACACATACCAGAGGGACTCCACAGAAATCAGCCCAGGAGAGTTACTAAGAGGGAAAGTCCACACTGCCGGTTCGCAGGAGGAACATCATAAAGGTAAGTAGGCACAGATCCACAAGGTTTTGAGGAGCTGGGGACTTTTGGCTTACCAAAGTGTAGACTGCTTAGGGTTTGACCGTAGCCCTTGCCACTGCCTAGGCCAGAGCTGAGACCATTTGGAGCAGTTGCAGGGGCTTAATTTCAACAAAGTCATAGCTGGCCACCACCTAGGGGAAGGGATTAAACCCTTGCAGCCTCTGGAGCAGGGATATAGGCTCAGCTATGTTGTTACTTTTGTTTCCCCCTCTTCTCTCTATCCCTCCACTGTCTCAGCAGGTTTAATTTTTTTCCCCACTTTGTCTCCTCTCTGTTCTCTCACACTCCACTGCCAACCTCCAGACTAATCCCCTTAGCCTATGGCATTTACGCCTGCCCACCCCCCACCCCCCAACTTAGGTGAGCTCCACCCTGTTCAGCGGAGCCTGAGGCTGGGGAAAGCCCAGCCCAGCTGACCTCCACCAGAGGATACTCCGCCCCAACTTCTTACCGGGGAATTACTGCTTGTGTGGCTGGGGGAGCTCCTATTTTTCCTCTGTTGTCCCACATAACTGAGGGAACTTCCTGCTGCCTACCTTAGTGCCTCACACGACTTAAGGCAGCTTGGCCAAAACTCGCGAATATTCCAAGATGCTGCAGGAACGTAGGCCCAACCACTGCAGTGATCTACCTGGCCAGGGCAATTCCACCCACCATTCACAGTGTTCTACACCTAAGCAGGCAATCCACGAGCCTTCTGGGGGTACTCCCCTTGAGAGTGAAGCAACAAGAGGATAAAGTGGTAGGCTAATTCCACAGTAAAATGAACTGTAAGCAGTTCAAAGTAGCATTCCTACGAGTCTCCCAGAGAGAGCCAGTGCTCTTTGACTTCCTGGAAAATAGCACCTTGTTCCTCTAAAACAACGCAACGCAAAAAGCAATCAGCCCCAAAGACCTCAACGGGAAAACAGGAGAAACAAAGCCAATAGCAAAAGATGCCCTGAACCTAACGACATGCATAGAAAAAGCAGACATTGATCTGCCACAGAAAAAAATTTTTAGAATGCTGCTTGGAGTCATACAGGATATGAGGGAAAAAATACAGAAAAAGGATCAAATGATAGAGAAGATAAGGTCCATACACCAAAAGGAAATTCAAGAGCTTAGGGAGGAGATAACAAAAACCAGTAGCAGACCACAGATCTCGAGAATCGCCTGGAGGAAGCAAAGAACCGCACCCAGTGACCCGGCAGACAGCCAAGCAGACTTTAAAAAACACGAACAAAATCTAATAAGATCATCAGAGAAACTGAAGAAAACCTAAGAGCTATATGTATGATGCTATGACGCGGAAAAACATTAGAATTATTGGCTTACTGCAGGGACAGAACAAAGAAGTCATCTGCAACAATAATGAGAGAATTCTTGGAGGAAAACTTCCCCAGCTTAATGAATGAAAACCAGGCAACCATTCAGGATGCTGAAAGAACACCAGCTAGACTGAATCCCAAGAAGTCACCAAGGCACATAATAGTTAAACTATCCAACTTTGAGGAAAAGGAGAAAATTCTGAGAGCAGCAAGGGAAACACAGACAATAACATACAAAGGTTCCCAAATAAGAATATGCTCAGATCTATCAGCAGAAACTATGAAGACGAGGAGAGAGCGGAATAACATATTCCAAAAATTGAAGGAAAACAACGCGACCCCAAGAATACTCTACCCATTAGCGATGAAGATAGATGGAGAAGTAAGAGTTTTCCCAAACAAAGAAAAATTCAAAAGGATATGTTAGAAGAAACCCAGCCCTACAAAAGATCCTTGCCGACCCAGTATGGGCAGAAGAACAACACTCACCAAGCATAAATAAGAGACCACCACACAGAACAACCTCACCCAAAGGGCAACAAAGAGAAAACAGACCCCAAGATAGCATTGGCTTAAGGACAGAAAGAAGTCAAGAATCACACACACGCACAACACACTAATGAGAAAGAAAGGTAGGAAATTATCCAGCACAAAAGGTATAAGATGGCATCACAGCGTCCACAGATGGAGATAATAACCCTGAATATCAATGGTCTAAACTCAGGTATTAAAAGACTGAGGTTAGCAGACTGGCTTAGAAAACACAACCCATCAATCTGCTGCTACCTACAGGAGACGAATCTCAAGGCTACAGACAAAAATAGGCTGAGAATCAAAGGCTGGAGAAAGGCATACCAAGCAAACAGCAATTCAAATAAAGTAGGGGTTGCAATCTTAATCTCGGATAAAATTGACCTCAAAGTGCAAACCATAACAAGAGATAAGGAGGGACACTATATAATGCTCAAGGGAGCAGTAGACAAAGGACCACTAAGCACTGTAAACATATATTCCCCAAATGAGAGACCCGCTGAATACGTCAACGAAACACTCCAAAAGATGAGAAAAGAAATCACAGTCTCAACAATTATAGTGGGTGACTTCAATACACTGCTCTCTGAGAAAGATCACAGGGAAAGAAACTCAAAGAGGCCACAGATCTAAATGCTATAATTAGACAATTTGACCTGACAGATCTTTAGAGCTTTTCATCCAAATACAAAGAATTCACATTCTTTTCAAGCCCGCATGGCACAGATTCGAAGACAGACCACATGCTGGGGGATAAGGCGAATCTACATAAATTTAAGCACATTGATATCATACAGACCTCTCTCTCTTACCACTGTGCCATACGGCTGGAAATCAACAAAAGGAAGATGAAGAAAACAAGCAAACAATTGGAGGATGAATAACTCTCAATTGCAAAAGGATGAGATTAGGAAACTTCTAGAAACCAACGAGAATGAGAACATGATGTATCGAAACTTATGGAACACAGCAAAGGCAGTCATCAGAGGAAGTTTCATAGCAATACATGCACACCTGAGAAAGGAAGAGTGACTCATGATTGATATGCTGGCACAAAATTCACAACAACTAGAGCAGAGTCAGCAGGACAATCACACTAATAGCAAAAGAAAAGAAATAATAAAAAGCAGGGCTGAGATTCAGGACAGGGAAAATAAGAAAACTATGGGAAAAAATTAATGCTGCTAAAGTTGGTTCTTTGAAAGGATAAACAGAATCAACAGACCCTGTCAAACCTAACCAAAGAAAGGAGGGAACAGATTTCAATAGCAAGAATGAGGGATGAAAGCGGGGACATTACAACAGACACCCTAATGAAATAAAAGGAATAATTACACAGTACTACAAAGGATTGCACAGCAATAAATTTAACAATTTGGAAGACATGGGATAAATTCTTGGAAAAACAATCCCTCCCTAGACTATCCCTAAAGAAAGTAAAAAATCTTAAAAGACTCATAGCAATAGATGAAATACACAAGGTTATCAAGGGATTACCAACAAAAATTCCCCTGGACCAGATGGCTTCACAGGAAAATTCTACCAAGCATTTAGGGAAGAACTAACACCAATCCTACACAAACTCTTCCAGAACATAGAAAAAGACAGCAAACTCCCAAACTCCTTCTATGAAGCTAGTATAACTCTGATACCAAAACCGGGCAAGGATAGAGAACTACGGACCAATATCCCTAATGAACATCAATGCAAAAATCCTTAACAAAATACTGGCCAATAGAATACAAAAGTATATAAAGCAAATAATTCACCATAACCAAGTGGGATTCATACCACGGATGCAAGGATGGTTCAACATATGAAAAACCATTAGTATCATTTGCCACAATGACATGAAAAACTATAAGAACCACATGATAATATTGATAGATGCAGAAAAAGCATTCAACAATATCCAATACCAATTCCTGTTTAACACACTTGAGAAGATAGGAAAGGAAAGAAAATTCCTCAAGACAATACAAGCTATATATGAAAAACCAACAGCCAATGTGGTAGTCAATGGAGAAAAGACTAACACAACCCCACTGAAAAAGGGCAACAGACAAGTATG